CCCCAAAACCCCAAAACCCCAAAACCCCAAAACCCCTTAAGAAAGCAATCATGTTGAATAATAATAATTAAATACTAAGTAAGTCTAAAGATCTAAAACCATTTTGGCGAGAACCGATGTTTCGTAATGCATCCTGAGGTTCTAAGGCAAACTTCTAGAAGAAAGCAATCATACTTATGATTTAGAGCATCATCTTGCTCAAAAAGAGTTCAGATATGAGTTGCGCAATAGTTGCACATTTGGTTGCTTCTTCATTAGACCGAATTAGGCATAAAATTCTGTTAAAACACTATTTTCTCTCTTTTGAAAATTAACGAAAAAATATGAGGCTAAAATAAAATTTATGATAATACTAGCATGAATATAGAGAATGTAGTATGTGTTCTGCAGCGTTTACATTTGTTTGCAAAACTCGTCAGAGCTTTCATTAAAAATCTCTTCCATTTGGCTTAAATAAAGAACAGCTGTAATGAACAGCCAACTGATCAGGGAACTAAATGTACCTGCTGTTGTGGATATTTAGAAAGTTAGAACAAGTAATATTAGTACTGATAGAACCGAATGATACAATGATTTCCATATTTCCAATTTTGAGATCTTCGAAAAACAAAGAATCTTCGAAAAGCCAAGATTCCCGAGCTTATATTGCCTTGTGGACCTGTCATAGCTTAAAATAGTTCAAGTGTCTAGTTTTTACATCAAGAATCGAGCAACAATTTCAAAAATCGATTTTTTTATTAGTTATGGAGATGTCGTTAAAATTTGAATTTTCAGAAAAACACTTATAACAGCGATTCATAATTTAAATGATAAGAATTCTAAACTTCCGTTTTAACCACTGTACTGCTACTTAGGTTAAATTTGTTCGATTCTTTGAATATTTCGAGGAATTCTCCAATCAGAATGAACACACATCAATTTCTGAAGATTTTACCCTGAAGAGAGCAAATTTTTGTGAAATGATTTGAATCAAGCATGTATTCATAAACCTTCATTTTTCTTGTTCAAATTTTTCATTTAAAAATTGGTGAGACTTGTTTCCATTACTTGTTTAAATTTATAAATCTAATCCTTTCAACTTTAGAAGCTCCAATGAAGAGAACTGACAAGTCCCGAAATCATACATTGTCCCTCCTGACCAAGACTCTTGAGTTTAAGTTGAAGGTAACCACCATTCTACATATTTCGTGTTTTGAGTTTATATTATGAAGATATTCTTTCCAAATTTTGCAAATGTTAGCATAAATTGAATCCTTATCTAAATTTGAATGCTAACAGTACGTATAGACTCAGAGCTACTATGAAATAAGGCCAGGGTTGGCTTCCCGCAAAAATTTAAAGAAAAAGGAATTATGTTCGAATAAATTCCGACAAATCCTCAGAGTACAAGAGCAAGACCTGAGATGAACAAATTTCCCTGAGGTGTCAATGAAGCAATCCCTCATCGATTCTTTGTAAACTGCTCGCTAATTGAACATGTTTTGTATATAACGATTTCTCTTTCAACTACCATCCTGATTGGTGGGGTTTTGGGGTTTTGGGGTTTTGGGGTTTTGGGGTTTTGGGG